TTGACGTGAAGAGATAAAGTTTTGTTATTGGTGAAGCTGTTATTTTTTCCCACTATATATTAAAAAATTAATATAAAAATTAATATTTATAATATTTTTTAATAATATTAACAATTATAATAATAATAAAATTACAATATTTTTATAATAATATTTATATATTTTATAATAATATTTGTATTTTATAATAATATTTGTAACAATATAGTAATATTTTATACTTATATGTATTAAAAACATATAATAAATCACGTCAACAGATGTTATATGAATATGAATTACATAAATTAATATTATGTGAATATGAATTACATAAAATTTTAAATATTATATTGCATAAATTTTAGATTTTAGAAATTCTAATAAATTTAATTTTAATAATAAAACTTTGTTCATTAAAGATTAAGATAAACTTACTTTTTCATTGAAGTCCTTTTTAATATTTTCACATAATTCCTTAAAACGTTCCATTTGATAATTTTGATAAATTTTGATAATTTGAATAATGTTTTGTTATAATAAGAAAAGAAAAAAAAGAAAGATAAAAGATCGTTTATCTTTTATAGTTTTTCGGAATTCGGATTGTTACAAATCACGCGGAAATCGATCCATAAACAAATAAACGACAGATAAAGGATAAATAAATAAATAAATATATCTGCTATGCTTATCGAAAGTCGATGAATGATCTCGATCAAACAAAAAAGAATACTTATGTAAAGAATACATTCTAGAAATTGAGATATAAAATTTGGGATATAAAATACGAAACGATATAAATGATATAAAATGATATAAAATGATATGAAATGATATGAAATAATATGAAATGTTATGAAATGTTATGAAATGATATGAAATTATAGAAATGTTAAAAATGTTATAAAATGGAACAAAAAAAAAAAGTAAAGATAAAAATGTATAAAATATGGTAGAGTAAAAAAAATATAATTTATTACAAGCCGAAATTTCTTTTTGGGGAATGATACTAAAAAAAGCCACCTCAATTGTTGTTCCCAAACCTGTTTCTCGACAATTGTTTCGAATCATCGACCACTGTTGTTCTTCATAAACTATTCTCTTCATAAAGAATTGATTGAAAATTCTTCAAAGATTTTAATTCGGCAAAATTCAACAAATGAAACAATGAGCAACTATTATTATATTATAAATAATTAATTAAGAAATTAATATAAGAAATATTTGGTTTCGTCTCTATTATAGTATTATCAATTCGTGATTTAAATATGAATATCGAATCGAATTCTCAAGAATGTAGAGAATGGAATACGTCTATAAATTTTATTTTCTTTTTCAATTTCAAAATATAAAATCATCATAATAATCATTACATTATTTTCAAGTAGATTGAAAAAATTGAACAAAAAATTTTTGTTAATGATGTAAAAATGTAAACAATAACGAAAGATTGAGTAACAAGAGAATATTAAGAAAACAAAAAGAATAAAAGGAACGTAAAGAAATATAAAGAATAAGAGAATAAAAGAATATCTTTATTAATAGATTATTATTAATACAAAAGGTATTATTATCATTATTTATTTTAAAAAACAGCTACTCCAAATAATACCAATAAGAAAGAACTCCCACATCAAAGATATTTATTACCATCAGAAGAAATATCTTTAATATCTTTTATCTCTTTATTTCATCTTCTTATTAATATTGTTATTATTCATATCATTATCTGTTATTATTATTGTTTGACACTTTTTTTCTGGTGCAAAATTAGGTTTCGTTGTGGCTTTTCATTTAATAGAAAATGGACCAATCAAACCAAATGCTGTTTATTTTTTCGCTCATAATTTCCTATAATTTATTCTTACTAACATATATAATATGCTAAATTATTTGTTTTACAGTTCCAAACCGTTTTTTGCCAATGGATCAAAATTATTGGCTGGGTTATTATTATACGTAAAATTATTTTTAGAAAATGATGAAAATATCATTTTTGATCTTTATGAGAACAAAGTTGTTGAGACATAATTTATTTCTTCTTTATCTCTTTTTTCTTTTAATTTGATCAACAACTACCATCAATAACCATCATTGACATAACTATGTTATAGTGATATATTTTACATTTGTCTTACAAAATGGTTTTGGACGAAAATTTGACAATTTTAGCATATAAAATTTTAAGGATATACTTTATTCCTGAACAAATATCATTTTATAATTCTCATTAACAGATGAACCACTTTTACAAACAAAATAACTTTTACAAACCAAATTATAGAATATAATAACAAATCGAGTTCAAGGCATTAATTATCACAGGTAAAGATAAGATAAAAGGTAAGGATATATCTGCATATGTTTAACAGAAAAGATAATCAACACGCATGCATACTTATCTCAATAATGGATTTTGTTTATTTTTAACTATAAATTTGTATAAATAAATAAATTAAATAAATATATAAAATGTATAAATGTATACTGTACTTATAGAAGTATCTTTATAGAAGTATATGATACCAAGAGAGAAAGTTATATAGATATATACACTTTAATGTATACATACGATTCACCACAATCTCAATATAATCTCAATATAATTTCAAATATATAATTATTGTAAATTATCGCCCCAATCAATCCATTCATTATATGGTTCGTCTTGTTGTTGATGAAATTGGTGTGATAATTGTAGTGCACTACTTATATTAAACGAAAATTCAGGTTGTGGTGAACAACTTGTTATATTAAACGAAAATTCTGATTTATTTTTTGTCGTTATGAATTCATAATCCCTGTTGTTGTCGGTGTCAGTAATAATGTTGTTGGTGTCATTATTGTTTTCTGAGTCATTATTATTATTTCCATTGTTGTTGTCGTTGTCATTATCGTTGTCATTATAACTGTTGTCGTTATTGTTGTTGATTGTGATCAAACCAGTTAAATTGGATAAATCGGATAATGAAGATAATGAAGATATCGAAGATGTATTATTACAATGATTATTGTTGGGTAATAATACTTGAAGATTATTATTTTCTTTTTTTTTGTCTTTATTATTGTTGTTATTATTATTATTGTTATTATTAATAGGCTTTGTAAGTAAAGGGGAAGATCGAGGAATGTGTTGTGTTGATAATCTACTTTTATTACTATTATTATTATTACTATTATTATTATTACTATTATTATTATTATTATAAAATCCGTTACCAACATTATTACCAACATTATAGGTATTATTGATTTCATATTTGATGGTGCGTATAGAATCTAGAGAATTAGCATCTGAATTTACAAATTGAATCGCGTTATTGATATTATTGATATTATTTATATTATTATTGATGTTGTTATTAATGTTATTATTAATGTGGTTATTATTAATGTCATTATTAATGTTATTATTAATATTGTTAATATTATTCGTGTTATCAATTTCGAATGAATGATTATTATGATGTGAATAAAGCAAAATATCTCTATTAAGATGATTATAATCTTTTGCTTCTATTTGTTGTTCTTCTTCCTCTACTAATACTTGCTGTTGTTGTTGTTCATTTAAACCGCTAATAGAATCATTGATGGAATCATTGATTAAAATTGGATTAATTATTGATGTCGAAGGTTGGAGGAATTGATGATGGTGATGTTGTTGTTGTTGTTGTTGATTAAAACAATGATAAAGTTGTCTGGAATCATTAATAATCATTGAGAATTCATTATCGTTAGAAGAATCTTCTTGTTGATTAAAGTTTTGATGATGATTATTATGATTATTATTATTTGGAAAAGATGTGAAAATTTGATGATTGGGAAGATTTTCTGACGTTTCTTTTAATAAAGAAAACATTATTTCATTTGATCTGATACTTCCATTATTATTAATAATATTATTATTATTATTATTATTATTATTATTTATATAATTATTGATATAATTATTACTATGATCATTACTATTGATATTATTAATATTATTGATGTTATAATAGCTGTAATTATGATAATTAGGATAATTATGATAATTATTATTATAACTACCTATAGAATAATTATAATAATTCGAATAATTTATTGGAGAGGTCAAATTAAGATTTGGGAAATTAAAACAAGTTGTGGGAGAAATTGGTTGTAAATTAGAAGAAATGAGTGAAGTGGATGAAGTAGATGAAGTAGATGATATTGGTTGAATATTAGTTAATTGAGATTTAAGTTTATTATCGTTGTTATTATTGTTATTATTGTTATTGTTACTATTTATTATTTGTGATTGTTGCGGTTTTAATGGTTTTAATGATAAAGGTCTTTGTGAAAATTCCGAAATTCTGGGATACAATTCACGACGTGCCCTATATTTTATTTGATGTTTTCTAAGATTAAATAATTGTGTAAAAGATTTATCTGATGTTGAAAATGGAATTGTTGTTGCTATAAAAGAAGAAGTGATCGAAGAAGGAGGAATTGAGGAAGGAGAAATTAAAGGAGGAATTGTTGTAGATGAATTTATTGAAGGATTTGTAATAATTTTTTGAAAAGTTTTTCTACCTTGTCTTTCATAATTATCTTTATCATTCATATTATTGCTATTATTATTATTGTTGTTGTTGTTATTATTGTTATTGTTATTAATTTTATTATTGGTTTCATTATTTTCATGATGATCCTCGTTCTTACTGTTAGAAACACTAGAAACATTAATAGAAATACATTCGTTATTATCACTCCTGTCTCTGTTGTCTCCGTTGTCTTTGTTGTTTTTGTTATCTCTATCATTATTATTATCATCATTATCATTATTATTATTACTATTATTTTTATTTTGTTGATTATTTAAAATACTTTTCCTGGGACGATAAACATATCCTGGATGCATTTCTAAATGTAATACTTTGGCAATTTCTTGTAATCTTGTATATTGATTCTTGGTTTCTTCCTCTGCACAATCCCATAATCTTCCAGCTGCTGATGATACTTGAGGTACTTTTAAATTATGAACGGATAGATGCGTATGTAATGCGTTTCTAAATAAAAAGAATGCATTAGGTGGTCGAGGTGGATCATTTTTTTTACTCGATTTGGCACGTCGTGAATTTTCTAATACTCGACGTATGAATTGAATATCAGGTAAAGGAATAGATTTGGCTGTAAGTCCAGATAAAATTTTTGAAGCAGTGAGGTCATCAGGAGAAGGTGATTTTTGTGAAGTACAAATTGATTGACGACGTTTTGAATGTGTTGAAGGAGTTGTTGATGTTGATGTTAACGAAGAAGAGGGGGTAGAAGAAAAGGTTGATACATTTTTTAATGTTGAAGTTATAGAGGTAGCTATAGAAGTAGTAGAAATAGAAGAAGAAGAAGCAGAAGGAGAAGGAGAAAATATACTCGAATTTACTTTTGGCATTTTCTAATAACTGCAAGAACAAAGAAGTTTTATTTTCTTTTATTTTTTTTTTTAAGAAATCAAAATATCTTTAATTCGTTAAATAACAATCAGAATAAAGGGAAATTAATAGTAATACGCAGGAATTAATTATAATATATTATATTATATATTCGTTATATTTATATATTTGAATATATTCGTTATGTATATTCATTATGTATTCATTATATATTATGTATACAATAAATACTAAAATAACACTATCTCTCTCTCTCTCTCTGCACGTGTGTATGTGTTTGTGGATGTACGTACGAAATAAACATTAAAATATCATAAAAAAATATTTAAAGGATTTAAATTGATTTTATTTATTAGCGATGTTGAAACATTAAAATATTAAAAAGGAACAATAAAGAAGAATATCATCAATATGAAAAATAGAAATATGAATGGAAAATATGAATCAAGAATATGTATGAAGAAAAATAAATGAAGATCATAAAATATTCAAAAACATCAAAAAAATAATCGAAAATGATAAGAAGAATAAGAACGATAAGAATAATAAATTAAGATAAATCAAAAAATAACTTTTATTTAATGTCAAAAAAAGAATAATTGAAGAGAAAAAGGTATTATGAAAATCAATGAGAGGGGGAAATTTTGAGTAATTAAATAATGTTTGGTTTAGTTTGCTTAGTGTTTTAGTGCGTAAAATGTTTAATGTAGCCCATTACGATTACAATCAAAAGAAACACAATAACAAATATAATACAATTATAATAAGAAACAACAATTAAAAATCAGAACAGTTAAAAGAAAAAGCAATTCCAATTAATTAATGAGAATTAGTAATATGGAGAGTTTAAAAAAGTGGAACAGTAAATACGAAAGCCAATGAAATTAGAATATAAGAACAAAAAAATAATTATTAAACAAAGAGAGATTAGAGCTGATGAATTAATGTTATCGCGCGTATATGTATGTGTATATTTGTGAGAATTTGTATGTGATGAGTGTGAATGGGAGTAAATATGGATAAAAATTTAATAAATGATTAATATTATTTTTTTTCTTAGCGGTTTCTTTGATTGGTTTAATATTTTTATATTTTTTATCATAAAAGGAAAAGTGATAGAAATTATATATATATATATAGTCTAATAATATGCATAACTTTATAATAATATACTGATAACTGTATAGTTTAATTCTGATAACATAATATCGTGAAATAGATATAACTTTATCCGGATTTGGGAAAAAAACAACATTTGAACATTTTGATACTTTTATATTTTAGTTTGCTGTGGGGTTGATTATGTTTTATGTGATAGATAATATCATTTGTTTGTTTGTTTTACATTTTAATATTATTAATATTAATTAATACATATTTATCGGTTATTATATGTTATAAATTTTTTATTTATTTTATTTTCTATTTTTCAAATAAATAATAATTATAATATCTTAATATTTTAATTTTTTTGAATGCGCTCGTGAAAATTAATTTAAATTTAATATTTTCTATTAATTCTTTAAAATTTTCTTAAGACATTTCTCCTTCCTTCAGGGACAAATGCTCTATATAAATAATAAATACATAAATATAAATGATAAAATAAGATATAAAAATGAATAATAAGTAATAAATATAACTTATATTAGAATATATAAAATAATTAATATAATTAATATAATTAATATAACTAAATGTACGAACGAATCGCGTGTTGCTTCTCGAGTGATTACTTATTAATAATTATAAATATTATAATTAGATTTTTTATCTTATCCGAATGAATTATCAAATTATTTTAATTATTTTAATTATTTTTGCATGCGAAAAAATATTTTATTATTTCGATAGATAAAGTTTTTTTATTATCCAATAAAGAAATTGCTTTGTAATCACATCAAAAAACAAGATTAATTATTTATTCAAACATTTCAGGAAATTCTTATTCGTTTTAAAGAAGAATGAAAAAAAAGTTGAACAAAAAAAGCAAAAAGATTTTTGCAAAAGAATAGAATTCAACAAAATTTTTTATCAAAATATTAAAATGAAAAAAAAGAAATATATTCAGATTCTTCTATAAAATACTTATTTCCCGATTTTGAATAATTTTAATCTCATCAATGATCAATCTGATAATTATTGAATTTGAATAGAACCTCCTCGAGGATTCTTACGGGGAATCTAAAAAATGCAATAATATTATGATAATTATATAATGATAATCATTTTAAATACAAAATTATAAATAAAAATAATTATTATCTCGAAGACTTCACTTACTCTAATTTCTAAGAGACCATTTTCGTAAGCTGCTTTGATTTGTTCTAAATCCAAGTCTCTAAAAAAATCAAAAAAAAAAATCAGTATATTTTTTAAATATTAGTTTATAAAATTTAAAGACCTACTCTCGTGGGGGAAGTAAAACGTGCCTATTTTTAAAGGGAAAAAAAATTATTTTTTAGCATTTTTTAATGAAAAAAAATACAAATAGTTGATATACACAATTCAAATCATATTTACTTGCGAAACCTTCCAATGTTACGTTCTCGAACACAAGAAGAAGCTGTTTCATAAGAAGGCTTTCTTTTACTTTCACCAAAAATAACTATTTCTCGATTACGAAGATCAATCGAGATATCTTCTCTTGGAACTCCCTTTTTTTATGTTAAACGACCATTTGAATTCATTTATCCTCGTTTAATTTTTAGAGAAATATATATAATACACTTACTGGCAAATCGACATGAATGACAAAAGCCTGGTAAAAAAGAAAAAAAAAAAATTTATATATTTACATATCCATACTGTATATTTTTATTTATACATACCTCCTCTGTATCATAGACATCAGTTGCAGGACGCCAAACAATATCACCTAAATATTTGTTAATATTGTTAATTATTATTATATCTAATTTTTTAAAAAAAAAAGAATTAAATTTTACCTTCGCGTTCAGCCATAACTCTACTTCTAGCATGACGAGGGACAACATTCTGAATTGGAGCATTACTACGTGTTAAAGTTCCACGACCAAAATCTCCCCTGTCTCGTTCCCACCCACGCCCAAAATCTCCCCATCCATAATCAAAAAATGGATCTATATAGAAGGGATCATTAAAGGTGGGATAAGGATCCGTGCTAAATGGTTCGAAAAGTGCCATCTTTTCAAGAAACAAAAAAAAATAAATCTGGTATTACAATATATATATATGTGTGTGTGTGTAATTTTACGTCATTATTAAATTAAGAAATCGTAATTGTGATGCTAATTTTTTAAAGTTACAAATTAATTACCTAATGACATATGAAACGGAAATCCAAAAATTTATAATTGAAAAAAGATTTTTTTTTATGTGGGTCTAGTTACAAGACTCTGTTTTCATATTAAATGTATAGTATTTACAAAAAATTTAAAAATTATAATTATTATTAATAGTTAAATATATATCAATAAATAGATCAAAATTGCTGTAATTGGTGAATGAATTTTCCCAAACACTAAAAATGACCACGATCTTTTGAAATGAAATATTTAAAATTGAAAGATTGATTTTTGAATTTATGTTAAATTTTTATTCAAAGGCAACAGATAGTAGAGATTCTATAATAAAATATATAGAAAAGTGATGTTTACTAACTCCTAAATCTTATATTCAACAGAATATTGTTTATTTCTTTTTACCTTTTCAGGATTGATATTATTATTGTATGGGTGAAAATTACTTTCGTGTGAAAATATAACAATAAAATTTATCAAAGTTATTAACTTTATTAATATCAATATTATAATTATTTTTATTTATAATTTGTTAAATGTTATATTTTATAGCTTTATATATGCATTGCTATAGATATTTATAATCGCACCACAAACAAAGTTAATATCAAAAAAATTGGAGTTCCCTTCTTCATCTGCTTTATTTTATATTGAATACTCGAGGAAAATATCATAACTTTACAGGATTACTACAACATAATGCACAATGATCACATTCACGTTTATCTTTGTCCGGACAAAGAATTAGAAATGCAATACAGGCAAGCTTGGAACGGATAAACAAACTATAATACTGAATAATAATATTATTTATGTAATTTACAAAATTAAGAAATCTGAAAATTCTTTAATTATTACTTGAGATATATATTAAAATCAGTTTAATACGCAGAGTAAAATGTTTAATTCTAACATCTTTAGATATTATTGACATCCATTCCAATATTTTTAAATATTATCAAAGAAAAAACAATGAAATATTGTGCTAAGATTATCTTTATTTTTCTCTTAGCTTCCGTTAGCATTTCTGCCTGGGAACTATCGATCGATTTTTATGTTAATAAGAATATAAGATTTGATAAACAGGGAAGATTCAATGTCACTGCTACTTGGGGGAACCTTATAATTATAATTCAAAAGTAATTTGCCATAATTCATTCAAATAAAAAGAGAATATATATTCACTTATTCTTAACTTTAAAAAATTTCAAACAAAAATACCATATTCACTAATCTTCTTCAAACACAACCAGATGACGGAAAATCCATTTATTTTCATATAAGAATTTATGTCTTATCTGGATATAGTACAGTATTTGATTCAAAGTGATTCGAAATCCCTTCTCCCATTAAAATGAAGTAACTTATTAGACTTTTTTCAAAATATGTATATTTATGAACCACGACAACGATTATGCTTTAAAAATAATAAATTGCAAGCAATATTTTTTAAAAATAAATCAATTAATTGGTATATATATTTAGATAGTGAAGTGAGTAAAGTTTTCTTATGTAATTTTTTTTTGAACTGCATAAAAAGCTACTTTATTAAGATTGTAATACATTACATGAATATACTGCAAGATATTTTTGATAATCAACCGTATTCACACTTTCTGAGTAGTTTTTGTAGGATCAAATCAAAGCTCCTGATATCTTGATTAGATAAATCTCTCTTGAGATCTAAATGAATTTAAGTCGAAAATTTTCTGAAATGAAAGGCAGAATTCGAGAAAGCAAATGTTGGGTTATTTTTAGCTTTGACGTTATATTATAATAAAAATTGTTCAATTAAATATTAGCTAATAAATATATTTGGCATGATGCAATTGAATATTAAGTACTTTTACAGAAGATTTATTTAATAATCCACTGTAAAAAATATTTTACAAAATTTTGGTGGTGACATAATTATGGAGAATTAATATATAGAAATAGATTATTTGTCAAAATGGACTATAATTATAAAGTTGACGTGATTTTCGAAAAAAAAAATTCAAATCAAATCAAGTTGCTTTATAAAGAAAGAAATTTAAAATTCACAAGAAATTAGCTCTTAATATAGGGGTATCAAAAGTCACCAAGCTTTATAAAAAAATTACTAAAATTTAAAATGCTACAACGGGTGATATTAGATTCCCTAAACTCGATATCATATTGTTAAAATACGTATACTTCAAATAAAATTACCAGAAAATAATAAATTTAAACTTTGATCTTTACCCATACTGAACTTAATGGATACTAAAGATAGATACCAACTATCTTAAATGAATTGTAGTAAGAAATAGTTACTTAGACATGAATAAAAACGGCTTAAATTTATTAAAATATTAAAAAAATAAAAATAAAAATAAAAAAATAATTATCAATCGTTTCTACATATAAAAGTTTTTTTATTTACCAAAGTACTAATAAAAATAATACTAAGTAACATTAAAGCTGCAAACATATAGCATCTTATGTAAAGTATTCAGACATATTTAGCAATTAAATTCAAGAGAATAATTTTTGAATATTCAGTATTCAGCCGTTGATATTAAATATATTAAATTCAATTCTTAAGAAAAAAATATAAAAAGTTTACACAAGATGCTCCACATCTTTGGCTATAAGTTTAATTAGTACTATATTTGAGATTTTATTATTTTTGAATTTTTTTTTTTTAGTATCAAAATAAAATGATCGACAATAAATCTGCCCATCGCAAAGGGCATTATTGTCGATCATTTTACCGTTGAAAATTCAAAAATAAACTATTACATTTAAACTTCATTATTTACTAATAAAACAGCAAATTAAACTTAAGCCAAAGATGAGAAGCATCTTGTGTAAACTTTTCATATTTTTTCTTAAGAATTAAATTTAATATATTTAATATCAACGGCTGAATACTGAATATTCAAAAATTATTCTCTGGAATTTAATTGCTAATTATTCATTTAATTTTTTATTAAATATGTCTAAATACTTTACATGAGATGCTCTTTATCTCAGCTTTAATGTTACTTAGTATTATTATTTTTATTAGTACTTTAATAAATACAAAAATTTTTATATGTAGAATCTATTGATAATTATTTTTGGATTTTTTTTTTTTATTTTAATAAATTTCGGCCGTTTTTATTCACATCTGAATAAAGTCAAAATTTTCATTAGATACCACGAAAAGTGTTTCTAACTAAAGTTGTAAATATTGTTTCCTGCTACAATTCCATATATCCTTAATGTCCATTAGAGTCCAGTATGGGTAAAGATCAAAGTTTAAATTTATTAATTTTATTTGAAGTGAACATTCAATTTTAACAAAAAATATATCATATGATAGCTCTAATCTAATTAAAAAAAGTTTGTGCAATTTAGATCACCCGTCGTGTCACAATTATCACTATATATGGTAAATTAAAGAAATGAAAATAAATTGTTTGGATTTCAACTAGGATTTTTTTTAGCAATATAGGTTATTGGTCTTCTTTCTTAATTTCAATATTTGAATTTAAATCTCGCTGAATAATTTCTTTTTTAGGTGTGACATTTTCACCAAAAATAACATTAGGACGAGATCCTTTTGGCATCTCAAAATTTTCGAAATTTTTATTAAAATCTACAAGACTGTCAAAAGTTATTTCAAGTGTATGAACCATCTTAGGACATAATTTTATTAACTTTGATTCTTTATTTGATATAAACCTACGCCCATTAATCTTACAACTTAATATTTGTTCAATACTAATACGAAATCCATACATTTCTTCATAGATATCCCAATGACAAGAATGTTCTCCAGGAGCAAAGTTTCTTCTATTATTAAAATTCTTGCAAAGTTTATCAGATAATTATATATCCAGCCCGATCCAGTAATACCACAACCATCAGGAGTCGGTTCCCACTCTTGTATTGTGCGCGTGAGTCCTTTTCATTTCTTTTACCATAATTTCCATTGAGTTGACCTCCAATTTTCCAAATTTCTCCATTGATTTGCCCTCCAAGATTTACAATCACTTCATGAGCTTCAGGAATATCAATATCTTTATTGGACCGTTTTGGCCATGAATCTTTCAATTGGTATAAAGTTTCTTCATCAGAAATAGATTCCTTTGGAATTGGAGTGACCCAAATTTCAACGGAATCAAGGAAATAACCAATACCCAGTTTCCTAAGTGATGGCCAATTATCACTGAGCATTTGTCCCATTCTGCATTCACTTAAATCGATATTTAATTTTAAGTTACCATTTGTATCATTTGGTTTTCGATCTACATTCGTTTGTAAATAAGCATAAACACTGAAACTTTGAAAAATTTCCGGACAATTCCTGTCAGCAGCTTTTGCAGTTACTTGAGATGAAAGACGTATTTTTTTGCTAACTTCATTGTCATTGTCATCACTATCACCATTAATATCGTTATCATCACTGTTATCATCATCAAAATTATAACTATTACCATTATCTCTCTCGTTTTTAGCTGGTTTTTTCTTTAAATTTTTGTTTCCTTTTTTCTTATCTTTTTTTCTTGAGCTATTTTTAACACTATTATTATTATTGTTATTGCTATTTCTGTTATTATTATTGTTGTTATTATTGTTGTGATTGTTGTTATAATTATTACTGTTATTGTTGTCATTGTTGTGATAATGATAATTATTATTGTTGTTGTTGTTATTATCATTATTGCTGCTATTATAATTGTTGTCATCATTGTAACTAGTTAAAAAGTTACTAGTAGCGTCATTTAGGCCACTTTCATAAAAACAATCATTTTCATCTATTCTTTCATCTATATCTTCATCTTCATCTGTAAGTGTTATTACATGGTCTATAACTTCAAATTTATATTAAAATAATGCTTCAAGCTTTTCCAAAATAGAGACATCAAGTTCCTTAGTAACCCAGAATGAAATACATGGTGTAAATGAGCCTTCTTGGAAATCTGGTCCCAAATATATGTAGGTTTTGATTCTAACACTTTGTCAATTTCTTCTTTTTTATTTATAAGTAATTTAATTATATTTTTAAATCTAGCATGTGAAATAGCTGAAGTTCCATAATATACATTTGCTTCCACTGAAAAGAACTTTATATTATCTGATTCATTCCAAATATTTTATTTATTATTTATTTCCAACAGTAATTTTAGGCTTAGTTAACTGAATGCAGTTGAAAAAATTGGTATCAGCAGTAACCTCGGGTTCTGTTCGATTTTTTGTAAACTTTTTTAAATCGTTATTTTTAAAAAAAAGAATTCATCTAAACTATTCTGTTCATTACTATTTCCATCTTCAAGTTTGTTAAGCCGCCCATAACTATTTCCCCCTTCAGCCGATTTCAAACGATCTCTAAGATTCCTTCAACTGATTTCAAGTACCACTGAAATGCTTAGAATTCATCTTTTGTAGTTCCAATTTCATTTGATAACAATTTCCAAGATTAAACTGTCCATCAATATTTCCCCCTTCAGCTGTTCTCAAGTACCACTGGAGTGCTTTCTCTTCATCTTTGTTGTTCTAATCTCATGTTGAAAGCAATGACCAAGAATATTCTGTCCATCACTATCTCCACCTTCGGCAGATTTCAAGTATGACTAAAATGCTTTTTCTTCATCTTTTGTAGTTCTAATCCCATATAGTTGCATTACGGCATGCCGAAATGCCGAAAATATTTTCGGCATATACTTTCAAAAGCCAATATTTTAAGCTGCCAAAAAATATTTTAGGCTGCCGTAATTAATTATAACTGCCGAAATTATTAATTATCAATTTTAAAATATGGTAATATATAAGATTTAAAAAGTATGCTTGTCACCGCTGGTGATAGTTAGGATCAGGGAATTATGTAATTTTGCCCAGTAGTGACAAATAGATTTACTCTATAATATTTATAATATAAAATCTATTTTTTTTTTTAATTGTTCCCGCATTACGCGATTTTCTACTATAATATTTCTGTGATAGATCGAAAGCCCTGGTTCTTAGCTACAAGATGAAATGTTTCATTTTTATATAGCATCGATATTTATCGAGATATTCGCGTTTAAAGTCAAACATCCGTGAGAACTTCTACAAAAATTTTGTATAAGTTTTCACGGACATTTGACTTTAAACGCGAATGTCATAATTAATTTTGACATATGAAAATAATTACGGCAGCCAAAAATAATTAAGGCAACCGAAAATAATTAAGGCCATCGAGAATATTTTCGGCAATTATATTTTCAGAAAATACAAAAACAATTAAGCCAACAACTATATTGATAACAACCACCAAGATTGTTTTGTCCATGACTATTATCTTCTTCAGCTGATTTCAAGTACCACTGAAATGCTTTCTCTTCATATTTTGTAGTTCCAATCCCACGTAGATAGCAATAATCAAGATTATTCTGTCTATCACTGTTTCCACCTTCAGCTGATTTCAAGTACCACTGAAATGCTTCCCTTCATCTTTTGTTGTTCCAATCCCATTTTCATAACAATGACCAAGATTACACTGTCCATCACTATTTCCTCTTTCAAATGCTTTCCCTTCATCTTTTGTAGTTCCAATTTCATTTTGGTAACAATTTCCAAGATTATTCTGACCTATATGATTTCCTGCTTTAGCCGCATCCTTTGTAATTCCAATTCCATTGTGATAATAATAACCAACTCTGTTTTGCCCATAACTATTATCTCCTTTAGCTGATTTCAAGTAACACTGAAATGCTTTCTCTTCATCTTTTGTGGCTCCGATTCCATTTTCACAACAAATTCCAAGATTCAACTGTCTATCACTATTCCCTCCTTCAGCTTATTTCAAGTGCCATGGAGTTTTTTCTTCATCTTTTATGGTTCCAATCCCATATTGATAACAATCAAGATTATATTGTCCAGTATTATTTTTCCCTTCAGCTGATTCAAGTACCACTGGAATGCTTTATCTTCATCTTTTGTTGTTCCAATTTCATTTTGATAATAGCTAGGTTTGTTTTGTTCATAACTATTATCTCCTTGAGCATATCCTTGATCAACTAAAAATAAAATAATTAAATTATTCAATTAAATAATGTTTAGAAATAAAAAATAATAATGGAATCATATTAATTACCTCCAAAGCTTTTAAGATAATGCTGTTAATTATTTTTATCTTTTGTTGGTTTTAATTTAGTAAATAGATAATTATTATTTAAAATGGAATAAAATTACCATGAGTTAGGTCTATGTTATTTATTTAATGTTAATAACAGATAAAGTTTTTTATTTAAATTAACTTTAATTATTTACTATTGATTTTATATATGCAAATTATATATACGCAGAAAGTAATAATAAGCAAATAATATTAATTGTGTTATATAAATGTGTAATATACGATTGAAAAAAACCAAGTCTAATTTTGCAATTATAATATTGTCCGGCATTATATCTTAGTGAAAATTTGATCACTCACATTATTCTTGTCACAACAAAACAACAAGGACTCAAATGATATAAAGAAAATATTCTTATATTACCGAATTGCATTTTTTTGTGACCTAACTAGTTATTTGATATTCTCAATAATGTATAATATATCCGTTATATAGAACTATGTGATACAATGCAAATTAATTAATACAATAAGAATGACTCCAAAATTAAACAACAAAATTTATCAACTATTTTGCTGAATAATAAAATGGCAAGAAAAAATTTTATAGATTATTATGAATTTAATAATAGTAATAATAGTAAGTGGAGTAAATAACATACACTCTCGCAGTACAGTGGTATATTTTAGATCAAAAAGAAATCGAAAAATTATTCCAAAATTTTATGAATCAGTATAAATAATAATATAATTATTACTAACTTACGCATCTTCGTATTTAATATTTTAATATTCAACTTCCTTGGAAAATGAAACTTCATAATATCACAATTCATTTGTATTATTTAATATTGTCTTGGTATTTCCATCACCTTTCTAATAGTGATTTTTTCTGTACTCATGGAGTATTTAAATCAATAATAATTCACTTTAAACAGATAATAATAAATTTACACAAGTTGATGAATATATAACTACTTCCCAATTATCGCTAGTGAGATAACATTTCTTCAGCATACAGTTACTCCTTTTTCAAGTAGCATCAGGAAATTATTTTATTTGATATATTTGCATAAATAATAAATGTATAATATATTATATGCGATACGATACATATGCATAACAGATAATATCTCTTATATATTTGAAGGGGTTTTTTTTTATTTGTATGAATTATATAGATTTATATATAACATATAGATGTATGCACAAATTTAAAAGACTGTTAAAAGTTATTTCAAGGGTATGAACCATCTTAGAACATAATTGTATTAACTCTGCATTTGATATGCGGTTACGCCAGCTATTAGTAATCTTACAACTTAATATTTGTTTAATAATAATACAAAATCCGCGCATTTCTTCATAGATATCTCAGCGACAAGAATGTTCTCCAGGAGCAAAGTTCCTTCTATTATTGACTTTCTTGCAAAGTTTATCAGTATAATTATATATCCAGCCCGATCCAGTAATACCACAACCATCAGGAGTCGGTTCCCACTTTCTTATTGTGTATTTGAATCCTTTTTCATTTCCTTTATCACAATTTCCATTGAGACCTCAATTTTATTAATTTCTCCATTAATTTGCCCTCCAAGATTTATAATCACATCATGAGCTTCAGAAATATCAATATCTTTATTGGACCGTTGTGGCCATGAATCTTTCAATTTGTATAAAATTTCTTCATCAGAAATAGAATCCTTTGGAATTGGAGTGACCCAAATTTCAACAGAATCAAGAAAATAACCAATACCCAGTTTCCTAAGTGATGGCCAATTATTACTGAGCATTCATCCCATTCTGCATTTATTTAAATCGATATTTAATTCTAAGTTTCCATTTGTATCATTTGTTTTTGATCTACATTTGCTTGTAAATTAGCAGAAATGCTGAAGCTGTGAAAAATTTCTGAACATTCAGTAGCCTTTGCAATTACTTCTGATGAAAAAAATATTTTATGCTAATTTCACTGTCATTTCTTGAGTTATTGTTAACACTATTATTATCATTGTTATTGTTATTTTTGTTATTATTATTGTTGTTATTGTTATAGTTATTCTTGTTATTGTTGTCATTGATATTAAATTATCATTGTTGTTGTTATTGTTATTATTGTTGCTTTTATTATTTTCATCATTATTATAAATATTATTATTGTTGTTATTATTATTATTATTGGTGTTGTTATTTTCATTAATGCTTTCATCTATATCTACATCTGTAAGTGCTATTACATGGTCTACAACCCCAAATTTATATTCAAATAATGCTTCAAGTTTTTCAAAATAGAGATATTAAGTTCCTTAGTAACCCAGAATAAAATACATGGTGTAAAGGAGCCTTCTTGGAAATCTTGTTCCATAATATATGTAGATTGTAATTCTAACACTTTGTCAAATTCTCCTTTTTTATTTATAAGTAATTTAATTATATTTTCAAATCTAGCATGTGAAATAGCTAAAGTTCCATAATATACATTTGCTTCCACTGAAAAGGACTTTGAATTATCTGATTCATTCCAAACATTTGATTTATTATTAATGCCAACAGTAATTTTGGACTTAGTGAATTGAATGCAGTTGAAAAAATTATTATTAGCAGTAACATTGGTTTCTGTTTGATTTTTTGCAAACTTTTTTAAATCATTGATTGTTAAAAAAAAGAGTTCATCTATACTATTCTGTTCATTACTATTCCCATCTTCAAGTTTGTTAAGCTGCCATAACTATTATATCCTTCAGCTGATTTCAAGTTCCATTGAAATACTTTATTTTCATTTTTTGTAGTTCCAACTCCATTTTCATAACATTTTCCAAGATTATTCTGACCTGTATGATTTCCTGCTTTAGCTGATTTTAAATACCACTGGAATGCTTTCTCTTCATCTTTTATGATTCCAATTTCATTTTCATAACAATAACCAGGTTTGTTTTGTCCATAACTATTATTCCCTTCAGCTGATTTCAAGTACCACTGAAATGCTTTCTCTTCATCTTTTGTAGTTCCAATTCCATTTTGATAACAATATCCAAGATTATTCTGACCTATATGATTTCTTGCTTCAGAATGCTTTCTCTTCATCTTTTGTAATTCCTATTCCATTTTTATAAAAATAACCAAGTTTGTTTTGCCCATAACTATTATCTCCTTCAGCTGATTTCAAGTACCACTGAAATGCTTTCTCTTCATCTTTTGTGGTTCCAATTCCATTTTGATAACAATATCCAAGAATAAACTGTCCATCATTATTTCCCCCTTCAGCTGATTTCAAGTACCACTGGAATGCTTTCCCTTCATATTTTGTGGTTCCAATTCCATTTTCATAGAAACTTCCAAGATTAAACAGTCCATCAATATTTCCCCTTCAGCTGATTTCAAGTACCACTGGAATGCTTTCCCTTCATCTTTTGTGGTTCCAATCCCATTTTTGATAACAATATCCAAGATAGTATTGTACATCAGTGTTTCCCCCTTCAGCTGATTTCAAGCACCATTGAATTGTTTCGACTTTATCTTTTGTTGTTCCGATTCCATTTTCATAGCAATAACCAAGTCTGTTAATCCCATAGCGATCTCCCCCTTCAGGTGTTAATGGCTTAGGAAAAAATAAAGGTTTACCAAGAGTAGTATATTTTTGTTTGAATTTATACAGTTTTAGAAAAATATTTTGTAAGGATATTCGATTTTGGGATTCGTATAGCCAAGCTAAAAATTAATATAAATATCAAATCAATGAGATATATATACACAAATTTTATTCTATTAGCAAAAACAATTAACGATTATGTTATAAACCATACCGGCTTTAATAATATTTTCAAGACCTTTTTGAATTTTTTGATTTGAAGGAGTTTCCGCTCCCCAACAAATCCTTTCTCTTCCATCGTGCATTACAAATTCTTTTATTTGATCTGCTTCCATATTTTCATACATAATAACATCCCAAAACTAAATTTATAAAAAAATTATAAATGAAAAATTTTGCAAAGATAAATATTAGAGATATGTATATTTCTTGCCTGAAAATTTCACATCTAAAGTATATCGTTCAGTCTCTTTCTCTCTTTCATTATTTCCATCTCATAATTTCTATCTTATTATTCATTTCAATTTCTGCGCCTAAAATAAAGCGAGAATGTTCAAAATTGGAAATTTTGGCTACAAGATTTTTGGTAATCTAATAAATAATTTATTTAAATCAGATATAATAATTAATAATAATTCAATTTATTAAAAAAAATAATTAAATAGTTTTCGTGTATAACATGCCAGAATGTTTTGACATCTAATGTCATGATGTAAAATATCACATGAGTGTAAGAAAGTCAAACCACGACAAATGTCAAGAGCCAGTTGAACTTTTGCACACAATGTAAGATTCGTTTTCATTAAGAGCACCAAACTCTGTCCACTCAAAAACCATAACTCGCTGTCCATCAACTTTTGATAAACCAAAAAAATTGATAATATAAGGTGAAGCTCTCAATTTCTCTAATATAGCGAGTTGAGTTCTATTCTTAAAGATTTATCTGCTTTGTCGGGAATTTTTTTAAATTTACAAGCAACTTCATTCATTTTATAAATTTTCTTGATAATATATGGTTTTTTTGTGCCTCTAATATCATCTGGCTTTTCATATGGAGGATCACTTAATTCAGTAGCGAATATTTCATTTGCCATTATATTTTTATCGGGATCGTCTTTAGAGTCTTCCAATTGATCTCTGAGAATATTTCCTTCTATTTTTTCCAAAAACTGTTAAAAAATGTTAATGAGTTTGGATAATAATAATACTAAATAAAAAAAATAATAATAGATAAATAAACAGTTGATTGAAAAATTGAATTACTTTTTGCATATTCCCAATATCATCTTCACAATCAATTCTGTCATTATTTATAGACAATTTGAAATGTAAATCGTTCATGGGACTTTCAAAGTCATTAATAAGTTTCTCACAAACGTTTCTTTTATATTCGTGGTCGAAGTAAAAATTCTTTGAGAAGTAACATTTTTATAAAATCTCTTATGTTTTCCAAAACAGTAATAAATCTTAAGAATGTTACATAGTTTTCTTTTTCTCGAGATCTTTCGCCGTGTTCAATTCTTCTTTTCAAAATTTTAATATTGGCTTCCGCGGCATTTGCACGGTCCATAAGCGAATCACAAATATTTATATTATATTTTGCATTTTCATAACTTCGTTAATTACAAAGAAGGCATTAGAAATAAGAGGTAAGAAACTTTGGGATGTTTCACCAGCGAAACTCATAAATTTTTTACTAGAAGAAATATAGCCTTCCATAGTTACTTTTTCTTTATCATTATTCTCTTTTTTTTTAAAAGACATTTTGAATAAATATTGTTTAAGAAATAAAAAAAGGAATAAAAAAAACAATGGTTTTTAAAAATATTTCACCGGACATTTAAAAAATACTCCGATGCCACTGTTACTTGATACGGAGTGTTGTTTTCCGATTGAACAACCACAATAAATTCCTTCGGTATTAAATTACTTCTATATTCAATAGGATCATTATTATGTTTATTTTTACATTCTATATTATAAACACTTATCCATTTATCAGAATATTTTTTATATGTGTTGTGTTGAACGGAATATATTTCGTTTTTTATGAAGTGTAAGGTGAAAAAAAGTATTTTATGTTCGCGTCAAATAATTTATTTCCGCGAATCTACTAATTTTTATATTGAACTTTTTTTTCGCAAAGTAATATTTATGTTATGTTTAAATTTTTATTTAACAAAATTAAAAATTTCATCCATAATATTTGTATTGTTAACTATAAAAGTGTTATACTAGATTATAAGAATATACAAAAAATAACGAGTGGACTAAATCATTTCTTCTTTTATTGCTTTGATAAGATCTAAAAATTGTGTTCTTCCTAATAATATAAATATAAATATATAAATATATATATATATTAATTATAGAGGAACAAAATTCTAATTTAAAAAATTAAATATATTAATATAGATTTATTCACTTACTTATAACAGAATTTTCATCCATATGATGAAATGGAACGGGAAATATACGAAGATATTCACCAAGATGTTCGTTTAAAGTATTAACATTTTTTGCAATAGCGAAATATCTTTTAGTTTCATTAACATTTTTTGCTATGGCGAAATATTTTTTCGTTTCTTCGGTCATCAAATTTTGATTTTGATCATGTAGGAAGAGAAAGAATTTCAATTTTCCAAGTTTATCGAAATTCACGGTGGTTTCTTTGCTCCCTCTTGAAAAATATTCTTTGATGGAATTTTGAATAAAGTCTTTTTTTTGATTATCATCATGATTATTATAAATTGATTTAATATCTTCGAATTTGATTTTTTTAAATCCCCAAAAATCAAGTATCCTTATCTTAATTACCATAGCAGCGATATACTTAAAGTTAACATTTTTATCAAAAATTCTGAATGCGTTTTCGTGAGATTTTATAAAATTTTCTATATCAATTGGATATTGGGGAATTTCCTCAACGAAACTAACATAACTTTCTATTTGTACACGCATATATTCAATTAATTTATTAAAGGCTAAAAAGTTAATGTAAATATTATGCACAGTAAAAAAAAAAAAAATTCGAATTTAAGCATTAACATTATGTTATTAAGAATTACAATAAATTATGTCAGTGAAAAAAATTATTTGATTGAGAAAAAAAAATGAAAAGAATATAATTACCTGGTTTATTGAAGTACAATTTACTCCATAATATTGGGAAAAATGGTAAATAACATCCGAGAAGGTTATGAAGTATTTTAATATTATTGAGTTGATCGACTTTTCTATTGTAATAAATGATTTCATTCTTATTTGAATTCGAATTCGGTTTCCAATAATCAATATATCTATTCAGAAAGAGAGAAAATTTAATTTTTTCAAGTTTCGAAAGATCTTTTCTATCATGATTTTCTCGAAAATATATTTCAAGATTATCTCGAATGAATTTTAATTTTTCTTCTTCATTGGGTTTTGAATTGAATTCATTTTCAAAATCATAAAAACTTATATTATAATATCCCCAAATTTTTCGAATTCTAAGTTCAATTACGAGTTTTGCAAATAGTTGATCTTTAATTTGATCGAAAAAACCGAGACCGTCTTCTAAAGTTATTTTTCTGCTATTAAAATCTATGATAATAGGATTAAGAAGTTTGGTGATCTCCATTATCTTTTTAATGAAAAATTGGAGATTTTGTAATAAAATTTGATAAATTTATAATTGTTTTTTTTTATTGTTTTTATTATTTTTATTGTTTATATTGTTTATATGTGCATTATCTGAAAAATAATTTAATTCCTGTTACACTTATATTTATACACTTGTTTTAACTTGATTTGCAGTAATGTAATCACACAAAAATCTTATTTTTCTTTTCCCTTGATAATAAACCGAAAATAGTATGACAATCAATTACTTCTTTAGTAAACATATACACTTCATTTTAAGGTTTCGAAGATCATTGCCTTTTTTTTTCAATATCGAGATTTAAAAGAATCATTAACAATTCTGTAATCCTACTAGTGTAATAAAAGTGTGACCTATAATCAAACCCAAAAAGAATGACAAGACAAAAGTACAGTAGATAAGATAAATAATAATAATATTATTATTATTATATTATTATTATTATATTATTATTATTATTATTATTATTATTATTATTAAATGATATAATCTATTTTTCTGATATATAAATATCTTTAATTTCCCTTGCACAAATGTTCCAACAAAAGATTTATTATTATAAAAAAATCAAATATTTTGTAGATAAAAAAAATAAAAAAAAAACGCAAAAAATAATAAAAAAGGACATATAAAGAGTGTAAAAGACAGGATATCAATTCTAGAGAGAAAAAAAAAGCTAACAATAATAATCATAATAAAACTAATCCCTCCCATTTGATATACTTTGATATATTCAAATTTAAGATAAAAATAAAAAAAAAAATTGCTATAATATTTGTATTAAAGGGAGGGAGAAATGATAGAACAAAAAATTGAACACTTAACATTTCTCTCCGGTTCGATCTTTTTTCTAAAACTAAAAAAAAAAGTAAAGAGTGACATGAAGTAGGATTCAAAATTATTAATTAATGTAATGAAAAATAAAAATTAATTATTTTGATGATGGAAAATCTTGGCCGGTAGCCATTGCATGTTGTCTCAACACTGTAACAGCTTCCTCGATCTATAATAAAAATAAATAAATAAATAAATAATAAATCAATATATTCAAAATGTTAAAAAAATAAATCTATTTATCAGTGAATAAATAAATAAAAAATAAAAAATAAAAATAATGAATAATATTTACTTTAGCATCGAGAGCTTGTTGATTCTCAAGTAAATGTAACAATTCTCCATTATCCATTTCTAATAACATTCCAGTAATTTTTCCAGCCAATTCTGGTTGACGAGCTGAAATTTTGGGGAAAATTTGTTCCCCGATGTATTGTTTCTGAGCCTCTTGTGAAATTCCAGCTAATTTACGAGTATCAAAAACTGCAGTTACAGCAGATGATGTTGATCCATTCCCTTGAGTAGCAGTAGTAGAAATACTAGAAGTGGAATTAATAGTAGATGAATTATTACGATTATTTGAATTATTCATACGGTTATTTTGTCCTCCATATTGATTATTATTGTTGTTATTATTATTATTATGTTGATTATTATATTGTTGTTGTTGTTGTTGTTGTTGCTGTTGCTGTTGATGTTTGGATGTAGTTGGTTGATATTGATTATTTCGGGTACCACGATTAGAATTAAGATTTCCTCTTCCTCCTGAATTATTTTGAGATAGGTTATTCTGTGGTCTACCGTTAGGACGATTATTAACCATTTGCCCGAAATTATTATTAGGGGCACAGATATTAGGTGTCGTACCAGAAACAACATTTAACATTCCATAAAAATGATTAGCTGGACGACCAGTTCTCATTCCGTATGATCCGGGATGAGTAGCGTATCCAACTGGCATACCGTAAGCAGAAGCCGCCTATAATTTTTTATGAATATGAAAATTATAAAAGTAAATTAATATAAATATGTAATATATACATATACATACATATATATACATATATACATATATATATATATATATGTATGTAATGCATATAATAATTTAATCCTATTATATAAAATTTACCGCTTGTTGTTGCATACGAAGTTGGTTTCTTTGATTAATTTGAGCTTCTAATTGTGATTTTCTGACTTCTTTTTTTTGAGCCAATGCAACGTATATTGGTTTATTACCAATCATACGACCATTCATTTCAGTTACAGCTTTAGTTGCTTCATCAGGAGTTGAAAAACATACGAATCCAAACCCTTTAGATTGTTGTCGTTCATCTCTCATCACCTTTGCGCTCGTTATAACACCATAAATGGAAAATTCTTGCCGTAATTTTTCATCATCTACATCGTCTTCAAGATTTTTTATATAAAGATTTACTCCTTGATATTTTTTTTGTTTTTCCAATTTGGCATGTTCGTATTGCTTTCTTAACTCCTCTTCACGTTCATACTTTTTTTGAGCTCGAGCTACAAATAATTGTTTACCATTTAATTCCGTATCATGAAGTTCATTTACTGCATTGGCTGCTTCTTCATGATTTTCGAAATTAACAAATCCAAAACCTTTGGAATTTCCTGCTTCATCAGTGGAAATAACTGCTGAAGTGATCATTCCAAATTTAGAAAAGATATTACGGAATTCTTCTAAACTTATTCCGGTATCTAAATTCTTTACATAGATATTAGTGAATTTGGCTTTAATTTCTTCAAGTTTAGATTGTCGTTCTTTTTTAGGAATATGATGTCCGACGTAACTATATACATAAATAAATATAAATTTATAATTAATGAAATTAGTTTAAGAATTAAAATTAAAAAATTAAAATTAAAAATTAAAATTGTTTGGAATCAAATAAAATCAAATAAAATCAAATAAAATCAAAAATTAAATTAAATAAAATGAATGAAAAATATTTACACTATTTTATCGTTAAGTAACATCCCATTTACATGCTTAATAGCACTGTCGGCAGCTTCACCAGTTTCATAATGAACAAATCCAAAACCTTTAGAAGCCCCATCTTCAATAGCAACTTTGCAACTTAAAATATTTCCAAAGGCCGAGAAAGTATCATGGAGAGCTTTATTATCAATTGATTTATCAAGATTTTTAATAAAAATATTTCCTGTACCAGTTTTACGAAGTGCGGGATCACGTTGAGACCACATGATACGGCACGGTTTGTTCTTGATGACAGTATAATTTAAAGTGTCGAGTGCTCGTTCGGCTATATACAACAACAACAAAAAGAATATTAAATATAATTAGTGACATCAATCATTATTATTATTATTATTATTATTATCATCATTTATATTAATCATTATATTAAAAAAAAATTCGATGTCATATAATTTAGTGTAAAAGAAGTAAAATATAATTATACCATCGACAACATTATGAAAATTAACGTAAGCATAACCAAGTGATCTTCTTGTAACGGCATCTCTGCACACACGAATACTAAAATAGGTAAAAAATTGATTAAAATATTTGGTGACTTTTTTTTTTTTTATTACAATTTATTATATGACAAAATGAACAAAATAATTATTTATTACCTAGCAACTGGTCCCACTTTATTAAACATTTCAAAAAGCATCGCTTCAGTTACAGAAGGATCAAGTTCACCAACGTAAATCGAGGCAGACGTTTGAAGTGCTGCGGGAGAAACACCAAATTGAGCAGCAGCTTGCTCTACAGTAAGTTGAGGATTAATCAAAGGTACATTAGGAGCACCAGGAATAACAGGGGCGCTAGGAACAACGGGAGCACCAGGAGGAGTTAAAGTGGAAGAAGATACTGCAGCAGCCATTTTTTTTATATTACTGAGAGAGGGTGGATTACGGTGGATTGCGGTGGATTAAGATTACTAAGTTTTTTTTATTAGATTAATTAGATTTACTGGATTTACTGGATTTACTAGTTTTTACTAGGTGTACTAAGTGTACTAAGAAGGTGTGTTGGATTAACTATATAGGTCTTATAGAAGAAGGAGGAATCCGTAAACAAAAAGGATAGTTGAGAATCTAAAAAAAAAAAAGGGAATCTAAAAAAGACGTATTTTTTTTTTTTTTTTGATACAATTGAAAAAGTAAAGAGGTCGTGAAAATATTTTTTTTTTATTTTTTTGAATTTTTAAATATATATATTTTTTGTTGGAACACTGTCTCGACGGTATATATAAAATATATATATATATGTTAGAGAATAAGAGGGAAAAGGTTAAAGAAGCCACAATTTAATAAGTGAAGTAAATTTATACTACTCACAAGATATTATCATGCACATGACCTCATCAGTTTTAATATTAAATAATATAACAAATACAAAAATTATAATAACAGAGATGGTTAACTAAATGATTATAATTATAATTGAGTAATTCTTTCCTTCGTATTCTTCTTCTTTATTTAGATCATCTATAAAAGATTCATTTTATTTATTATTCATAACTAAATGTTCTTTATTTTCTTCCATGTCATGTGTCTCACTCACATGCAAAAGTTTCGTTTTTGAGACCAAGGATTTTGTCAATAATATACACTCAAATTTTGTGTAATTTTAACGCTTTGATTGCCTTTAATTTGTTCAGCAATTATGAAATACTCAGATATTTTAATTCTTTCTATGCTGACTTATAAAATACAAGGATATATGGATATATATGAACGTTTTTCTCAAGAGTTATATATTCATATTTTTTGCATCTTTATTTATTACATTAAATGAATCAAAAAGGAATTTTATAAAAATAATAGTTTGGTGGCGCGCATCCAAATATATCTCTCAAAAAAAAACGAAACTTTTGAACTTTTGCCACTCACATGAGTTCAATGCATCCTTTTTTTCATTAAATATTAATAAATATTTTTACTAAATTGAGCATTAATAATAACGACATTGATCATCTGAAAAAAATTTATATTTAAATTTATTACCTAAAATTAAGGCATGCAGAAATGTGGGTGAACGTGATGCGCGTACATTATTATATGTATTCAAATTATCTAAATTCATTCTCTATATATTCTATATATCAAAATTAGTGATTATCGCGTCATCGATAATTTTTTTTAAGTAACGGACATTCAATCTAGATCTATCTTTCTCTGATTGAGCCTCTCTCTCTCTCTCTCTCAAGTCATTGTGTTTTTGAGCAAACAAATAAGTATGGAGAGAATATTTAACGGAAATAGCAAAAAAAAAAAAAAACATTTTTTATTTTTCAAATATTTTAATATATATATATATAACTTCTTAATTATAATAATAATGTTTAATTATTGCTCATATATATTACAGTTAAAAATGTCATACGTTGCTGGTATGGTAGTTTACGTAAAAATTAAGGGATATCCTTGGTGGCCAGCAAAAGTAAATATAATATAAATAAGATAAATTATCAAATTAATAAATATTCTATCAAAAAAATATTACTTCAATTTTCAATTTTTCAATAATTTTATTTTTCAATGAATTAGGTCGAAGAAGAATCTAGTATTCCTGAAAATGTTTTATCAAAAAAACCAAAAGGTTCTAATAATAAACCAATGTATTGTGTTAAATTTTATGGGACGGGAAATTAGTATGTGTTTTATTTTTATTTATTTTTTTGTATATATACATTTAAATTTTTCGTGTACGAAATAACAAAAAAATAATTTAAATTGTTAAAATTTATTAAAAAAAATTATTAAAAAAAATTAAATTATTATAATATTAAAGTGGATGGATTATAAATACTGGTATTAAACCATTTGATAAAAAAGAAGCAGAAATTTCATTGGAAGGAATGAAATCAAAAAGCAAAATGTTAGAAAGATCTATGAGGGAAGCTTTAGAAGATTTTAAAGATGAATCTAATGAAGAATTTTATGAAGAATCTTCTAATAATAAGGTAAGCATGAAAAGTGAAATAATTAATATTGAAAAAAATCAAAAGAAATGAAATGCATGAAACAGGAGAACAGAGTAATGAGTTAGTAATATCGCAAACGAAAGAGATTTAATTATTTTATGAATTTTATAAAAATTAAATTATCTATCTTTTTTTTTTACCACAAATAATAATACCCGAAATTGAAAATTACTGAAAATTATTGATGATGGTAAATTACCGATAAAAAAAAAAAATAGACAAGTAAGTTGATTTATTTATTAAAATTATTGATAAATTAATTAAATTGATTTTTGATGTTCATTATTTAATTATTAGGATCAGATGCACTTTCAACGAGATTAATTCATTTAAGATTTAAAGCGCAAAAATTAATGATAAGATTGAAAAATACTGATATAGACGTAAGTAAATTGTATATTATATGCATATTATAGTATATTAATAGTTACATCACAGATTATATTTAATAACAATTGATATAATTGATATTTATTTTCAATTAGAAATTAGATATGTCAAAAGCTGATAAATTATTTACCGAAATTGAAAATTTTCCCGTCACTATTCCATTATTAAAGGTGAACTTTTTTCTTCTTTTTTTTTTTTGTTTTCTCTCTTGGCTCTCTCTTTGTTATTAATATATTTATAAATATAATTAATGATTATTAATTGTTATTAATGATTATTAATGATTATTAATTATTATTAACGATTATTATGATTATTATATATATGAAATTAGCAATCCAAAATCGGAAAAGTCATGAGAAAAATTAGAGAAATAAAAGTTGATGGCGATGATTATAATATTATAAAACGTAGTGATGAATTGGTTAAAAAGTGGTATAAAATATTTCAAGCCACTCCATCAAAACATGAGCGCGAACACGAACGCGATCAACACGAACAATACGAACAAGGTAGAGCAACTCTTCCTACAGTTACAATTGATATTAATCCAACTCCAATAAACCAACAAGAAGGTGATGAGGTTACCCCAATTGATTCGACAATAGAAGAAGGTGATGAAGTTACTACTCCAATGGAGGTAATAAAACAAGAAGAAGGTAGTGAAGATGACGAATCTATTAATACTACTCCAATGGAGACGACAATACAACAAGGTAATGATACTTCAATTGAAGAAACTCCAATTACGCCAACCAATTGAAAAAGGAAAAATTTAAAAGGTTTGAAAATTATAATATGCAAAAATTCGACTTGATTCTACAATTCAACTGAAGTTTGGGTGATGTTTAATAACATTTATTTTAGTTTCGAAAGCAAGTAATAATAATAATCATAATTAGCAGTAGTGATAAATAGCAATAATATAGAATTTATTGTTATGAATGGTTATTAATGGATATTAATGAATATTATTAATGAATATTAATAGATATTAATGGATATTTAATGGATATCAATGGATATTAATTGATGGTAATATTTGGTGAATTAATAAAGATTTTTAAAATGTAAATACATATTATTTTCGTTTATACCAAAATTTTTTTTTTCTTGATGTTTTTTGAAAACATGATTAAAAATGAGAAATGCATAATATTCATAGTATGCGTAATCATCGTTAAAAGTAAGATGAATGCACGACACGTTAACGCTCAGCAAAAATGATTCTTTATTAAATTTCACATCTCCAATAATAATAATAGAATCTCCAATAACAATATCATCGCCATCTAATATTATTATTATTATTTTCAACGAATCTTTGAGATAAAAATCAAGATTTAAATCATTTCTACTTTTAATCAGAATAAAAATGAAAATGAAATTTTAATCATAATTATAACAATTATGTCAAGTTAAGCGATCTCGAGAAGCTATGTTACCTTAAGGATTCTTTCAATAAAGAACTAAAAACTTAAATAATTACCAAGTGAACTTTTCACTTTTCTTCTCGAATTCTAATCAAACCAACAGTGTGGTGATATTGTTCACCAGGTTCGTGAGTCACGTGAAAAAATTAATTGATGTACTGTGTAAAAAATTTTTTATTTCTCATCACACCAATAGGTCTGACTTGAAGTCAAAGTCAAGCTGGACCATATATATATTGGTTTTGAACTACAAATCATACTAATGAGGTCTTTACAAACGACTTCAGTCAACTTCTATAAATTTCTTCAACTCCATTGACCCCATCAACTTAGAAACAAAACAAAACCGACGACTTGAAACTCTCAAGTCGCCCCCATCGGGTCCAGCTTGGACGTAACAACACTATTAGAAAAGAGAAATTGGTAATTCAAGAATCTTGAATTACCAAATTCTCTTTTCTTTAATGGTTTTATCAATATATTAAAAAAGATTATTACCATAGTTTAACAGACCTGTATTTTTCGTAATACAGCACCAGGTTTTTCTGAATCAAATTTCTATTATATATTTGGCTAAGTGAATTGATGGAGAAATTATAGAATGGGATGTTAAAAAATAACCAGTAGCAAAGATCGACTAAACTTAAAGTGAGTGATATTAAAGAAGTTTGATAACTTTGCAAATGTAAATGAAGATTTCCTAAATGTAAGTAAAATATATATTTTAATTTAAATTTAATTATCATGTAAATTTTGTTGTCAAATATATAATATATTGATTGTAAATAAATAAAAAATATCTTAGTTAAGCATTCACTCAAGAATATCGGATTGAGGTGAAACTGCAATTAGAATTTATGGAATTACACAACATCCAGAAATTAAAAAATAATTATAATGATATTAATTGGAAAAAAAAATTATATTATTTGATTGAACTGGCATATGATTTTGAAAAAATTCATAAATTAAATATAGTTCATCAAGATTTACACCCTCGGAAATATATTATTGGATAACTTAAAAAAAAAAAAATGAAATTCGGGTTTCGGGTTTCGGATTTTGGCTTAGGTAGTAGTCTAATTGAGAAAAATGATGAAAATCCTGAGAAGAAAAGAATATTTTCGATGCATTGGCATATATAACTCCGGAAGTATTATGTGGAGAAAAGAATATACAAAGGTTGCTGATGTCACTCATCAACCCATTTTTGTAGAATTGTATGGAAAGTTTTGGGAATAGTTATAATGATTATACATTTTAATAATAATGATATGAATAAATTTAAAAATCAAGAAAAAGGGAGGTTGATTAGAGACAATTCAACCCATCATCACAACTTCACTTAATTATCAAACACATCCAGAAGCAATTTATACTAGTCGACTTCTCAATTTTTCTAATCAAAAACGAAGCAATTTTTGAAAAAGAACTTGAATAAATAATTAATTCATACTTCTTGAGTAAGTTTTTTAATTCTATACTTATATATGTGTATTTATTTTTACAATTAATTTTATTAATCTATATTAATTTTTAATTAATTATTTATTTAGTTTCTTTTAAAACAATTGAAATGAGTGTACTTAATTCTTAAATATTTTTTATCAAATTTTTATAAAATTCAATTAAATTTGATATTATCAAAATATTAACGCCAGATATTAGAGTAGGAATTCTAATCATTTCATTATATTTTTATGAATCCAATTAACTTAATTTTTTAATTGAGATTTTTACTTATGATAAATATTATTGGCATTTTTATGCTAATATTTTATATGTAATCTTTATATTTTATTGATTCTGTTCATAAGATATATTTTTTGCTTCTAATTTGGGAATGTTGATTTAATGGTTAAATTAGCAAACGAAATTGAAAGAATTTTAGAAAGAAAAAGAAAGAAGCAAGATTGAATGGAACTGTTTTTCCATTCACAATTAATTTATACATACAGTATTTATATTTGTTATATATAAATATATATATATTCGTACTTGTAGTTATTGTTTATATTTCTATAACTATCCAAATTATTTTGTCCTAGAAATTTAACAAACGCACTAAAAGTTTATATAAAAAATAAAATGAATTTTATTTAAACGCAAATCAAATAAAAAATTTATTCTTTTTTAATAAATATAAATTTTAATTTTTCTCAGCAAAGAAACAAAATGAAGTATACAACAATCGTGAAGAAACTGGTAAGAAATGGTGTAAACCATGCGCCTCAATACATTTCGAAAAATGATCAACTTTTTAATTAGTGGAATTCACCAGATTTCATTGTTTAATTTCTATATTCAGTAGTTATAAAAAAAGAGTATAATGGGCAAGTGTTATGACAATCCAATCTTTTATTCGGGGCCAATTATGTGTGACTAATCATTAATTCTTGATCTTTTAATAATTAATTAATAAATAAGGAATTTTTTTTTAAAAAAAAAACCAAAAAATTTACATTTTATTTACCATTATAATATGCAATTTAATAAGCTTATAAATATTATAAACTAGAATTTCATAAAAATAAAAACAATCAAAAAAAAAAAAAAAAAAAAAAAAAAAAAGAATAATTAAAGAAGGATTAAAGAGCTACAAAATTTATTCCTTTATCAGTCCTCCATTTATCAACATGTTCTCTAGCAAAGATTCTAACATTTTCCAAACTATTAGTAGAAATATCTAAACTCCGATCTCCCAATAGTTCTTTCGCTGTCTCGCACAATAAGAATGCTTCGGTTATCTTTTCAGCACAAAGTTTAATACTCCTTCTTATTGTATCAATATGACTTATTATTATTATTATTTATATAAAGAAGATAACACCAGTAGCAAACAAATAAATATTAGAAATAAATCAATAAATGATAAATAATAATTATAAATAATAATTAAGAATTAATTATAATATTAATATTAAACCAACCTGTTATATGCCGTACGTGCCTCAGTGCCTTCAGTCGGATTTTGCTTCAATTTATCAAGATAAGTTGTATAACTTTCCTTAAGTTTCTGAATACTTCTTTCGTGTTCAATCATAAAATATAATTTAATAATAATAGAATGAAGGTATTTCAATGCCCCCATTAATTTTTTATCTTCCCCTTTAATCCAACTATATACAACAGTAAAAAACTTTTCTGGATTTAAAAATGTGTCATAATGATGCCCATTCTTATAAGCTTCGTATTGATTATGACAAGAATCCGAGTAAAGAAGAAATGCTTCTAAATAATCGGATATTCTATCTAATTTTTTTTCACTGGATGTTTTTTCGCTCCTATGTTTATAATTTGTGGCTTGTCTCATCCTATGTTCGTATAACACATGATAAGCTTGTAATTCAAAATCGTTATTGGTAGATGATTTTTCGGTTGATTCATTCATTGTTTGGGTACCAATTTCTGCTCGTTCTGCTCGAGAAAAATCAGTTTGTGTTTCCACAGTAATATAATTAGTAGATGAATTTGATTTTCTTTCTTTGGTTGATGATTTCTTAGATAAATCATTATTATTACTACTACTATTACTACTATTATTAATATTATTATTAATATTATTATTATTATTATTATTATCATTATTATTATTATTATTATTATTATTATTATTACTATTATTATTATTATTATTATTATTATTATCTTTATCTTTTATATCATCTGGTAATTTCTTTAAAGATCTTTTAGCCGGAATAACAATATTGTTATTGTTATTATTATTATTATTATTATTATTATTATCATTTGAAGATCCTTCTTTCTTGTCTACTTCAACAATAGTATGAATACGAGGAGGAATTTTTAATTTGACAATAAAAGGTTGAGAAGAAGTAGAAGAAGTACCACCACTCCCACTACTTCCTTCATTAAGATCAATAGATTTTAATGTCGTTGCTAATTTTGCAACTTCTTTTCCTTTGGTTCTTTTTTTAATCAAAACTTCTGAAATAGGTGGTACAGAAAATGTCATTTGATTTTGTCTTGTTGCAAATAAACTCTAAAATTAAAAATTAAATTATTCTAGTAAATTAATTTCAAAATAATAAAAATAAAATAAAAATTATTAAATTATTTAATTATTTAATTATAAAAAAAAAAAATTTTTTATCTACCTGTAGAATTTTATTAGCTTCATCTAAAGTCCTTTGTTTTGATTCATTTAAATTCTTTGAAGCTACAGGCTTTTTCTTTCCATCAACTACTACTTTTTTCCTAGGAGGCCTTTTAATTTAATAATTAATATTAATAAATAATATTAATAAATTAATTTTAAATAAATTAAACGAATTGAAATGTAGGATTTCAAATTTTACCTCATAACTTCATTTTTAGGTTCTTCACGCGAGGTTTCCCCAATAGAAGAATCATTATTGGTTGGTTTGTATGATGATGATGATGATGATGATCTAAAATTTAAAAAATATATTTAAACTTTATTTTTTTGAAATATCGAGAAATATATGTTAATAATTTAATTAAAACTTACTGGTTTTTACAACTAAAAATAAATTATATAAATCATAAAAATACATATGTATAATATATCTTTTTTTTTTAATTAACTAATTATTGTAAAATTTTTATAGAAATATATTTAAGATCTAAAAAGAAAAAAATAAATAAATAAAAAATAAAAAAAACCTTTCTAAAAACACCAGAAAATCGTCAACAGTTCTGTTTCCGGTGGATCTGAAATTTGGAGGTAAACTATTTGGATTAGGTGGAACAGGTGCAGGAATAGGAGTTGGAGCAGGAGCAGCAGGTGGAGGTAAAGGTTGCTGATTCTGATGTTTCGGTCGAGGTGATCGGTAAGGAATATAAGGAGCAGGTGGAGGAGCTTTAACTAAATAACTTGCCCATTCATCAAAAGGGACTGTAAATCCGTCAGCTATGGTTTGAACACCTCTTTTCACAAAATTAGGTCCTTTTGGAAATTTCTTTTTAAGTTCATTTATGATTTCTTCGATATTTTCGTCTAGATTAGCAAATTCTTGGAAAGACATTTGTGTAACAATTACTTAAATCTCCTCACATAAATCGTTCTCATATACAAATCACTAAATAATTGGCGCAGTGTTAACGAGCGATAATTTTTAAATTTTATTCAAATAAACGATACTCGATAATGTTAACAAGATTAATATGGATATTTTACAGTTTCTGCACTAAAAATATCGATACATAATCGGAAAAACTTTAATCATTTGTATTCAATTTTTAATTGAAAAAAAATTACTTAGTATTAAGATTTTATAATATTAATTCTGCTAATTGATAATAAATATGCCAGAAAAATCTAGCTTTAAGAATCCAAAAGCAACTAAATAAAGAAATTTAATTATTAATAAAATAAATAAATATGCAAAAAAATTTCGATAAAATATTTCCCCGGTGAAAATCCTGATGACTATTTTAATTCATGTAGTATATTATATAAATATTGTAATTTTATTTGAAATATGCATCAAAATGATATCTAAATTACAACAAAACTACTGCAAGAATAACCAAAAAAAAATTGGACATTTCTAATCTAACGAATTGCTATATTTTTTTTAATTAATGAAAATCTGAAAAAAAAAGACTTCTTTCTTTGTTTCTTGGAGACAGATCTTGATGAATAAACGTAAAAAAAGACAACATTAATATTGCACAGTAAAACATAACTTCTTGAATATTTTAAACAGACAGTTCATAATATATATTATAAACCATCTTAGATTATGAACTGTCATATGACTGAATCATTTTTTATAACACCGACAAGTTCATAGTCTACTACTAGTACCCATATACTATGAATTGTCATGTGACTAAATTGATTTTTACACTACTGATGAGTTCATAGTCTACTACCTTCATATACCATAATTATGTGATCTGCCATTAGAATATATGGTTACTATATTAACAATTGTGATTGATTCCATCATCAGATTAATATATAAAGTTCATATAGTGCATAGTTTATATTCTCAGGAATGATATTTTAATAGTTCATAGTTTGTAGTTACATTGGTTTCAATAAAGTACTCGATTGATGAATCAAATACATTTTATACATCATTTGTAAACCTGATGTAAGAGCTATGCCTAAACTTAGTATGTAGTATCCTAGTTTTTTGATTAATTTCTCTATAAAAACCAGAGTTAAGGCACATAATATCAAAATAGTTTCACTTGAAATGTTCTCATATGAAATATAGTGAAGCATCTATTTTCACCTGAAAAGTTTTTGAAATAACAAAAAATATATCAAACCTGAAATACTTAATATCAAATTGTTATCATATCTGCTGTCACTTCCAAAATATAATTTTATTTTATATATATATTTGTAATAATTTTTTTTTAAGGATGTTACATTTTTTTGATATCTAAATCATATCTATACCTTTGATATTACTATATTTAAACTTTCTATCATCTTTAAATAAATATAGATTAATTCAATATATGCATTTTCAAACTTGATTTTTTGATCTTTCTAATTTTTTACTACTTTTTAATATATATACATATTACTTATTTACTATTACATTAATAAATTTTATTATAACATTAAAATTAAAAATACTTTTGACTCAAGATCTAAAACAAAAGAACAAATATGTTTCTTGTTAAATTTTGACAATTTTTTTTACAAGATTTTTCAAATGCTTCAGCTATAATATTACTAGAAAGAATATATATATTATTTATATTAATAAAATCTAATAATTAAAAAAGTTCTTATATGACTTCTTGTTATTTTATTAAATGTAAATAATATAAATCAACAAAATTATTATTATATATGCTTGAGGTATCTCCTTTACCTGTTGAATAATATTTTGATTTACTTTTATTTTCAATAATTTTACTTATATTTTATTAGTTATATAACTAGTATTATAAAAGATTCAATTGAATAATTTTGAAATATCACTATATCAAATATATATCAAAAAATATAAGATATAAAATTATTATCAAACAGATTCTAAAACCTGAAGACTTATAAAAACCAGAGTTAAGACATGCAGTATTAAGGAAAGATTAAGAATAGATTCAATTAAAAAATATTTTATTAATATTGATATTATTATAATTCAAATGGTCAAAAATTAAATATTCAATTTTGACTAATATTTTTAATAATTTTTGATAATTTTTTGACTTAAATTATTTTAAAATCGAATTTTTCAATTTCTTTCATAAATCAAATTTCCAATTTTTAAATTAATTAAAACAATTTTTAAATAATTTTTATTTGATTTAAATATATTTTAACAGATTTTTAAATGATTTTTATTTGATTTAAATATATTTTAACAGATTTTTTAAACAATTTTTATTTAATTTAAATTATATATATTTTCAAATTAATTTTGAATTTTTGAGATATTTCGACTTTTTGAGATTTATACAGAATCTATTCTATATATAGAAATAAAAAAATACTCAGTTATATATATATTCAATCAAAGAATAAAGTTGAGTGGTCAAAAAATTTCAGATTTTAAATAAAATAATTTTATCTTCTATGAAAAACTATTTTACCTTTTTTCTTCAAAATTATAATTTCGGGATCTCAAAATAATTTTGTGTACAAGTATAATTTAAATGTATTTTAGCTGATTTAAAATATTTTATTATAGTAATTTCTTGATAATTTGTAATTAGCCTTTATAATTTTTATAATTCTAAGATAATTTGTAATTAAACTTTTATAATTTTAAAATAATTTATAATTAACCTTCATAATTTTAAGATAATTTATAATTAGCTTTCATGATTTTAAGACAATTTGTAATTAGTTTTTATAATTTAAAACAGTTCATAATTAATTTTCACAATTTTAAGATAATTTGTAATTAGTATTTATAATTTTAAGATAATTTGTAATTAACTTTTATAATTTTAAAATAATTTGTAATTAATTTTTATAATTTAAAACAATTTGTAATTAGCTTTCACGATTTTAAGACAATTTATAATTAATATTTACAATTTTAAAATAATTTGTGATTAGTATTTATGATTTTAAAATAATTATAATTAGCTTTCACAATTTAAGATAATTCGTAATTATTTTAAAGTGATTTATAATTAAATTTTTATGATTTTAAAATAATTTGTAATTGGTTTTTACAATTTTAAGACAATTTGTGATTAGCTTTTATAATTTAAAATAATTTGTAATTAATTTTTATAATTTTAAAATCATTTGTAATTAGCTTTTATAATTTAAAGTGATTTATAATGAGCTTTTATGATTTAAGGTAATCCATAATTAGTTTTCACAATTTTAAGACAATTTATAATTAGTCTTCACAATTTTAAAATGATTTGTAATTAACTATAAAAATTTATTTGATTTTTTTATTATTATTAAAAGTAATTTATTACTTTACTTTACTGATTTTATTTTATTTGTTATTAATATTATTAATATAATAAAAATAAAATACAATTGAAAAAAAAAATCCAAAAATTATTAATATCTAAAATAATATTATATACTATTATTATTGTTAAATTAAAATTACATTACTGTAGCAATAATAACAATAGTATCTGTTACAATAATAACTAGAAGAGTATTATCTCCATTATCAGTTATTGTTATCATTGATAATATTAATATCATCTAAATTTAATTTATCTTCACCTTTATTTAAATTTCAATTAGCAAATATTCACTAATCAAGAATATCAAATTTTTTTGATCTATTTTTTTTATCTACTGAATTGATATTTAAATACTTTTTATGAATTAATTCAGTATTAATTTTTTGTTTAATTTCATCAATTTTATGTAATATTTACTTAATCTAAATAAATAATTAACAGTTAAAATATTAAAGAAACATTTATTTATATATAATAAATTCAATATCAACACTTATTCTGGTTAATCTTCATGTTTTGCCTTTTACTCTAATAATTAAATTTGAATTGATATTTTTTTTTTTTCTCAATTGATTTTTTTTATTTGTCAATTGTTCATCTTCAGATAAATATTTATCTAATTATAAATCTGTACAGTTCACTGTACTCTTACATTCTTTAATAAATTCTTTACTACTAATTTTCTAAGGATAATATTCTATAAGTATTTTATTTTTTATTAAGATTATATATTGTAGTTTTCTATATTTTCTTTTGAAAAAGTGATTTTAGAATCAGTTGAACTTTCATAACATAATAATATTAATAATTATAATTAAAATATATTACCTATTCTCATCTAATATTTATGTAATATCATTTATTTAGTTCATCAAGATTTTCTTAATTTTTCGGGGTGTAAATTTCCATAACACAAATGGGACCCACGGAAATTTACACCCAAAAATTCAATTTTTTTGACTTTGGTCGCAATTTACGAGACAGGAAGCGATTTT